GATGCGGAGGAGACGAATTGTTGAATAAAGTCGCTTTTTTTTCTTTCACGCACAAAAAGTATTCTCGTAGCTTCGTAAAATTACCCCTGATGTCACCTGGATTATTTTACAGATCTCCTTGCTACGTCTCTGGACTTTGGAACATTTCAGTTGTATTGCTGTCTATGCAGGGTCAGACAGCTCTCAGATTCCATCAAAAATATCTTAATTTGTGTTCCGAAGATGAACGAAGGTCTTACGGGTTTGAAACGACATGAGGATGAGTAATTAATGACAGAATTTTCATTTTTGGGTGAACTATCCCTTTAAGTCAATGAGTTGATTATCCTTAAAGTTAAAGAGCTAATGTTTATTATTTCATCTCTTATTTTCCAGGTCAGTGGGGCAGGTGCATAGGAGAAGAATGTGGAACTGGCGGGGTTCAATCCAGGACGGTGTGGTGCATCCACTCAGAAGGATGGACCACACACCACTCCAACTGCCGGCACTCAGACAAACCAGAGAGCCAGAGGCCTTGCTTTAAAGTATGTGAGTGGCACCAGGACCTCTTTGAATGGGAGGTTTCAGAATGGGGGCCATGCGTTCTAGCTCCATTCCAGTCCAACGAGCTCAAACCGAGGACAACAGAGTGCGTCACGGCCCAGCACGGCATCCAGAGACGGAAGGTCCATTGCGTGCGCACCTCAAACCGCACGATGGTTACGGAGAGGATATGCGAGTTCTTTTCCCCACGGCCGGCGCTCGAACAGGCCTGCCTGATCCCCTGCCCTCACGACTGCATCGTATCCGATTTCTTCTCCTGGTCCGGCTGCAGTCGAACATGCGGCATGGGTCTCCAGCATCGGACCCGACACGTTCTAGCGGCGCCGATGTACGGAGGAGCTAATTGCCCCAATCTCACCCAAACAAGGACTTGTGCAAACCTTCTGCCCTGTCCGGTTGGGGAAAGCGAGCATCACTACAGTCTTAAAGTCGGCCCCTGGAGCGAGTGCAGGCAGCCGCAACACAAGGGGCTCTGGATGAGCGGAAGGACCATGCTGGACTTCACCACGGGAGATACGGAAAGGAACACCGTGAAACGACATATCCAGAGCTCCCAGCAACACCATCACCACCTCCACCACCACCACGGCCTCAAGGGCTTGGATGTGGAGATCGGCTACCAGACGCGCCAAGTTCGTTGTGTGCGCAGCGACGGCAAGAACGCCATGCTGAGGTAAGAAGCCCTGAACGTGCGCAGACGCATCTGCCGTGTCTATTCAATTTGCAATAATCTGTGTACAAGCAATGCATACCTGAGAGACAAACCCTCTGAGAACATAAACCCTTTTAAGGTCTAAATCTCAGATTATGCTCTTGAAAGCAAGGTATTGCTGCTGCTTGTGTGAAAGGAATTGCTGTGCAGCTGGATTTTTGAAGCGGCTCTGTGAAGTGGGCCTAACTAAATCGGTTAGTCCTCCATTAATCTCCTTCCCGCTGCAGTACTATACAAGGTGAGCAGAGAGACATGCCTCTGGCAGCCGCAAAGGCAGCATGGGAGAGCCGGGCCTCTGAGCAGAACACGCTATGGCGTGATGGAAAGGACTGAATTTACTCTCTTGCTGCAATCTCTGCATCCATAGTATGAGTTTGGAAAGATGGTCAATCACTGTTACGCTGTAGTCTGTGCTTTATTCTCGTTTCGCTCTCGCTCTTGGTAGAATTAGAAGTCGCTGAGATGTAGCTCATCCTCCTCTCACAAAGAGTATGGATTTCCTGCAAACTGAGGTTAATGAATACTAAGGAACTAAGGCAGGCTTTGAACATGACTTTAAAGATGCCTCCTTTGCAAAATATTGATTTGCGGGTAGGCACTCCTGATAAAGGTTTTAAGTATCAAATACAGACTTTTATGTCTTTGCTCTATTTTACTTGTGTCATGGTGCTGTCTGCTGCCGCTTGCTATCCAAGGTAGTTTATGTCTACTAATATTTATATTATATATTAGTAGACATAAACTACCTTGGATAGCAAGCGGCAGCAGACAGCACCATGACACAGGTATATATATATATATATATATATATATATATATACAGTATCTCACAGAAGTGAGTACACCCCTCACATTTTTGTAAATATTTTATTATATCTTTTCATGTGACAACACTGAAGAAATGACACTTTGCTACAATGTAAAGTAGTGAGTGTACAGCTTGTATAACAGTGTAAATTTGCTGTCCCCTCAAAATAACTCAACACACAGCCATTAATGTCTAAACCGCTGGCCACAAAAGTGAGTACACCCCTAAGTGAAAATGTCCAAATTGGGCCCAAAGTGTCAATATTTTGTGTGGCCACCATTATTTTCCAGCACTGCCTTAACCCTCTTGGGCATGGAGTTCACCAGAGCTTCACAGGTTGCCACTGGAGTCCTCTTCCACTCCTCCATGACGACATCACGGAGCTGGTGGATGTTAGAGACCTTGCGCTCCTCCACCTTCCGTTTGAGGATGCCCATGCTTGGCCAATCCATCACCTTTACCCTCAGCTTCTTTAGCAAGGCAGTGGTCGTCTTGGAGGTGTGTTTGGGGTCGTTATCATGTTGGAATACTGCCCTGCGGCCCAGTCTCCGAAGGGAGGGGATCATGCTCTGCTTCAGTATGTCACAGTACATGTTGGCATTCATGGTTCCCTCAATGAACTGTAGCTCCCCAGTGCCGGCAGCACTCATGCAGCCCCAGACCATGACACTCCCACCACCATGCTTGACTGTAGGCAAGACACACTTGTCTTTGTACTCCTCACCTGGTTGCCGCCACACACGCTTGACACCATCTGAACCAAATAAGTTTATCTTGGTCTCATCAGACCACAGGACATGGTTCCAGTAATCCATGTCCTTAGTCTGCTTGTCTTCAGCAAACTGTTTGCGGGCTTTCTTGTGCATCATCTTTAGAAGAGGCTTCCTTCTGGGACGACAGCCATGCAGACCAATTTGATGCAGTGTGCGGCGTATGGTCTGAGCATTGACAGGCTGACGCCCCACCCCTTCAACCTCTGCAGCAATGCTGGCAGCACTCATACGTCTATTTCCCAAACACAACCTCTGGATATGACGCTGAGCACGTGCACTCAACTTCTTTGGTCGACCATGGCGAGGCCTGTTCTGAGTGGAACCTGTCCTGTTAAACCGCTGTATGGTCTTGGCCACCGTGCTGCAGCTCAGTTTCAGGGTCTTGGCAATCTTCTTATAGCCTATGCCATCTTTATGTAGAGCAACAATTTTTTTTTTTCAGATCCTCAGAGAGTTCTTTGCCATGAGGTGCCATGTTGTACTTCCAGTGACCAGTATGAGAGAGTGAGAGTGATAACACCAAATTTAACACACCTGCTGCCCATTCACACCTGAGACCTTGTAACACTGAGTCACATGACACCGGGGAGAGAAAATGGCTAATTGGGCCCAATTTGGACATTTTCACTTAGGGGTGTACTCACTTTTGTGGCCAGCGGTTTAGACATTAATGGCTGTGTGTTGAGTTATTTTGAGGGGACAGCAAATTTACACTGTTATACAAGATGTACACTCACTACTTTACATTGTAGCAAAGTGTCATTTCTTCAGTGTTGTCAAATGAAAAGATATAATACAATATTTACAAAAATGTGAGGGGTGTACTCACTTCTGTGAGATACTGTATATATATATATATATATATATATGTAGGGCAGGGACAGGAAAAAAGCTGAATTAATGTCTGTGAGTATCAGCTGGTTAATGTGCTTAAAATATATACAAGTTATATCCCAAATGACTTATTATGCACTAAGCACTAAGTATCATGCACTCAAACATATAGTGTATGAATTTTTGAAGCGTATTTCGACATTCAGCATCGGAGTCTGATTGCACCTATCCTTTCAACAGTTGAGTGCATGAAGTGTCCAACATTCCACACGTAATTTTTATTTATTTTTTGTTAAAAAGTGCATCCTTACAGTATTTTAAGTGCACTTTTTCAGAGTGATCACACTACTGTAATGACTGCAAAAACACAATTTATACTACAAAATGGCATAGAATCATGCAAACAAGTAAGTACCTAAAGGGATGCACATATATATTTCACTTCCTGAAGCTATGCTAATTTGTGTTTTTTAAACTTGTTTATCACGACAATTAATGTGAAAAATAAGGTTTGCAATTAAAAAAAAAATTAAAAGACAGTACTCAGTCAAACAGACAGAGCAGATAGTGTACTGACAAAAAAACATTGTCTGGAATTATTTCACACTAAATTAAGATAAAGCTAAAGGAATAATTTATTATTAATGAAATTATATAAATATGTTTTATATCTGTAGTATGGGTGGATTATGGCCTTGAAATGCAGAGAGTTGTATACCTATAAGAGCATAAAGCAACAGTTCTTCATGTTTCAGTTTAAACAGACTGTAAAATGGGGATCATCCCTTGTTAATCCTCATATCAGGTGAAAAGAGGCTGCTATGCTTTCACATACAAATATCTTCATTATTCACGCTTTTGCCATTGTCACCTGCCATTGGTGTATGAAGACAGAAGCTTATGAAATTAGAGTCGATGTAGTGAATCTTTGCATTTTTTGGTTGTTGTGTCATCTTTGGTTATTTCCACTGAGAGAAAATCTACAGTGGGTATAGAAAAGAATCACCCCTCTTTATAAAAATCAAATTTTGTTGCTTTGTAGCCTGAAGACGGACACAGATTTTTGTTTTATCCAGCTGTATTTACTCAGTGCAACTTATAACATCCAAGTGAAAAATATAACACCAACATGTCAGAAAAATAAAAAAATAAAAAAATAAACAGAATCACTGAGTTGGAAAAAGGAACATCCCCCTCCTAAAAATGACTTGTAAACTCAATCAAGTGTAGCTAATCACCTTCTCAGTGGCACACAAATCCATCTGACTTTGAACTGTGATCAGCTGTGCTCATTTTGATTAGCTCAGCATGAAAAGAGCTTTCCTGGACCATTTCAGTCCTTGGTAGTGCAACTGAAGCAAACAATCAACTATGGGTGGCAAGGCACTGTCAAAAGATCTCCGGATAAAGTTGTGGACAGGCACAAGACAGGAGACATACAAAAAAAAAGAGAGGCTACCAAGAGGCCTACAGCAACACTGAAGCAGTTGTAGGAATTTATGACAAAGAGTGGTCATTGTGTGCATGTGACAGCAATATC